AATAATAATAATAATAATAATAATAATAATAGTAATATTATTAATGGTAAAGGTAGCGGTAATAGCAATGACAGTGATATTAATTTAAAGGATGGTAATAATAATAACAGCAATAATAATGACAATAGTCATAACCTATAGAAAAAATATTAGATGATATTCTTACCAAATTTCATGGCTGATACTATCGTTGGCTCTGCGCTGCCATCGTCACCGTTGTGGCAGAGCCTTATCGGAGCTAAAAAATTTTTCCATAGGTCTTAATAGTTTCCAAAGAAGTGGAATTTATTTTTTGGTTAAGCAGTGCGAAAAGTGTTGACAATGATGGGCGACAGCAGCTATAAGCCATGGCTGATTGTTGATCCTTCTAAAAACGTTGTTATTTATAAAAACACTCCATATTGTGCCGCTACTGAGTTATGGACAAAATTGGTCTTTGCACTGATTTTGTGGCCATCCAGCCATTTACTCGTCTATTCATTCGTTTGGCAGTAGCAGTACGTCGACTATGTGACGAAGGAGTATTACCTGCTTAGTCGTTTGATTCGCTCGGTTATTCAGCAAAGAATAAATGGCTTCCATTTGCTGGCAAGCAACTGAACCAACTATAGTCCAGTGGCTGCTCACTTGACGATGCTTGTTGGACTTTTGGCGATTGGGGCTGGTTGGCGAGCTGATTGAGTGACTGCTTGAATAGATTTGAACAGAACATTCAAGCATCGTTGATTTTCTGCTTGTGCGTCCTATTCCGATTGTCACCAGTATACATCGATGCATTTTATGCCCTCTGTGTTTGTGTTTTGTGTTGCATTTTTGCTGGTCGTTCTGAAGTTGCTGTACCACTGTGAACAATGAAATTTTTAGGCGAATATGACGGGTTTATCAAGCCAGTTCTGTCCTACTGGAGCATCTGTTTGCAAAAATGAAGAAATTTCTTAGTAAACTATCATTTATTATTAGATGGCAGACTTGACTTGTCAAGCTAATTTAGATGGGCGACAGCAGACATTAGTGTCTTGGAACTTTCTTGCGTAGGAAGCAGTAGCCAGAAAAAAATGAGGGGGAAGACGAAAAAATAAAATCTTCTAGAATGAGACGGAATGATTGCTGAAGATAATTTCATCTGTATACCTCTTTAATGATTGCTTTTTTTTTTTCTGGTTCTTAGTGTTATTTCTTGCTTTCCTTTTTCGTTTTTTTTCAAGCTAAAAGTTTGTGGTAATAGTTGAAGGAGTAGCAACTAACTGCGTTGAACTAGTAACTAGGAAGGAGTTAGTTTACGAATTATCACTTCAGGAAGTCTGTGTGGAAGAGAAGCGGGTGGTGAAAAGGAAAACAGCACTGCCGTTACTAAAATTTCTTGTCGATTCGTAGACATGCATCTGTGTGCAAATCTATGAAGTTTATGTGTGATGTTTGTTTGCGTGTGATGACTATGCAAACGAAGCAATTGATCTTTTCTTAATGTCATCCGTTTCCCTTCGCTGCAGTTTTCTTGGCTGTCTGATGTTGTTATTAGCAGTTATTAAAATGAGAATCATCATTCCAAATGTTTTTTTTTTTGTTTTTATTATACTTTTTTGATAGCTACAATTTTGAAGAAAACTCTTTTTCATTACTGGGAGAATTTTATTCTTAGAAGACTTTTGAAAAAAGTATCATGAAAAGTGGAATTAGCCGGAAAAATGTCGGTAGAATTAAAGCGGTGAAATAGGTGCAACTACGATACACTGACAGGAAGCTGGCTTTTTCGATTTTCTGGCTGCTTTTTTGCTGGTCTGTTTGTCTGTTTGGACGCCAGTTTTCGACCTGATCCGGCTACAGCAGGACGTTGTTAAGAGACGACGTTCGGCAGCTATGTAAACTAAGGTGTATAATTTTAGACTGTGGTTGTTACTATGAACCGCTGAACAATAGATACTTTCTGTACTAATACCTAATGGAGGTTTCTTTTTATTTAACAGGCTTCTAATCTTTATTAGCTTTTTTTTTCAGTAGCAGCAACGGCAGAAGTTTTTGCATAGTCAATAAAGAATTTGATGGAAATTATTGTTTAATGGTGTAAGAAAAAAATTGGGAGAAAATACTTTGGGGATTTCAGCTTTATTTTTGTGCTTATTTTATGGCACCGCTAAACCTCATTTATTTTTTCTTGAAAAAAAAAGTAGTTGAAAATTTCTTGATTTTATTATCACCTTTGAATGAAACAACACTTTTTTAATGCTTATTTTTAATCAGCTGTGATATACTTTTTGGCTTTTTTTTTATTGAAAAGATTTTGGTACAAAAAATTAATTACCCATTGTTCTTTTTTGACTGATTTGGAAACGGTAATTCAGAGATGTCAATAAATACAGTTTTTGTCTACAAAATCTCAAGTTAGCTTTAATCTCTTTTGATCTTAGAGGTCAACAACATTTTCTATTGCTGCTACCTCTGTTTCATCCTCCCCGTACTGTTGCTGCTTCTTTGTCTGCGTGATAGTGGGATAAATATTATCGGTTATTTGGGTTTTTATTTTTGATCTGCGCCTAGTAGCTATTAAAAAAAGTTGCAAAAAAGCATTAGTTGAAATGTGCGGTTGCTAAAATGATTGTGCTCAAATTTAAAAGTTTATCTATTCATCTTATTACTTATGTTTTACATCTCTTGTTCATTTTTGTTCAGTCATTTTGAAAGAAAATGAATTTTTTTAGATGAGGTGCATAGCAGAAAAAAAAAAAAAAAGGTTATCAACAAGAAATTCTTCAAAAATTTTATCTTTTTCATTGACCGACGATCTGTTTTTGTTGCTAAAAGAGATGGAGAAAATTGTTGAAGTTTATGGGATCTTGTTTATCGTATTGATTTTTCTTTTTGTTGCTTTTTTTTTGGTATTTCATTGTAGTGGAATATATTTGAATTCTTTTGATTTTTATCGGAATAGTTTTGTTGTCAACTGTGATGGCAGTAAGCAAGTGAAATGGCGAGAAGTGGATAAGTGGAGTGAAAAAAAAATTTCACTCAATTTTA